GAAACTTTCCAACTATTCACCTCCAACATCCTTGCTAAGGAGCCCGTTGGTCCATTCTTTGTTCTCTAAAATGAAGCCCCAGAACCGACATTCGGAGGCGTCTTGCAATAATTTAGAACACTAATTTTCATACCAGTTTTTATACGAAATAACTGAGATTTTAGCTGTATCCGAGTGGATACAGCAATTTCCAGTTCCTATGGTACCAGTATTAATCTGACTGCATGTCCATCTCACAGTTCCCTTAAGTGTTGATCGTCGGACAGATCCCCTGGCCACTCGTATCTGCACAATTCTATCCAGACCCTGATGATCTGTCTGTACATCTGCACTGTTTACTAGCTCCTGAAGATCCCTTACAACATATAGCTTGTCACACATCAATTACCTCTAATTAAGTAATGCAGAACCAGGCAATTTATCTATCTGATGTTCATTTGTTAACCGACTGACTGACTGACTTTCTACCCCACCAGGACATCACACAAGCGATAAACACCCGATGGCACAATGCGCCACCATGTGGATGAGAATCACCGTGGAGAGGTCCCAGAAACCGCGTTCAGACAATTGGCCATATTGATGGCCTGCCTATATTGCGGCCCCTGGCAAAAGCCAGAGTAGGGCTTCAAATAACAAAAAATTACGCCCTAAAAAGGACGTGAGGAATATTTTATGTATATATTCATTTGTTAACACACCTACACCAGAAAATATACAAAGGACACTTTACTCCTCAGCTCCTCTGAAGTTATGCTTGCTACTCTGCATGAAGCACACATGTCTCCGCCTTTAAGAGTATTCGATGTAGCAACATCTGCACACTCACAAACTGCACCAGCTAAAAAGCGGTTTACACAAAAACTAAAGACCATTACCTCGACATCCATCTGCCTGCAGTTCCCAGTACGCACTGCTGCAATTGCCACAGTCATCACCAATAACAAAGGGAGCACACTTCTCACAATGATCTCCCATAGTCCCATTCCTGCAGTTCAAACACTTCCCAGTCCATTGATCGCATTCTGGAGGGTCTGTAGCCCCACGACCTCCACAGTCACATGGTGTGCAACGATCGTAACTGGTAATGTTAGTCCCATTTCCTCTCATGTGTCCTGTAGCACATCTCTCACAGGAAAGACCTGGCAGAAACAAAATATAGTTTGGAATTGTGATATAATAAAATGTTAAGACGTAGACAGTAAGTGATTTTTGAACATATTGTGGAAAGCAGTGGACTTTAAAACGTAGTGATATTCCCTGCGTCCTTTTTAGGACGTAATCTTTTGTTATTTGAAGCCCCACTCTGGCTTTTGCCAGGGGCCGCAATATAGGCAGGCCATAAATATGGCCAATTGTCTGAACGCGGTTTCTGGGACCTCTCCCCGGTGATCCTCATCCACATGGTGGTACTTTGTGTCATCGGGTGTTTATCGCTTGTGTGATGTCCTAGTGGGGTAGAAAGTCAGTCAGACTATACAACCTTGGAACAACTAGCAAGACTGATGGAAAGAGAGCATGCGAAAGGCACAGAGATAAGTACCTGCCTGGATGGCCTGGCCACATGGGTGTGGCAAGAGCCATCTTTCTGATGTTGGTGTAAGATGTCCAAAACATGACACGGCACGGCTCATGATGATGACGATGAAAGTGTCAGATTACAAAAGAGATAGACAGAATGTTACTGCAATAAATAATATTACATTTAAAACTACTGATAACAGCTGTTTCGTATGTCCAGCACACATCTATCTCCTCCTCCTCATTATCATGTTTCTTATCTTCCAGACAGTATACATAAAGATACATAGGAACAGTTTATCAGTACCTGCCACGTGATGGGAAAGGTTACAGGAACACTGCTCCACAAAGGTCACACTGCCATCTGGCAGACTACCCACGGATCCCAAGCTGTTTGATTTCCTAGGTTCGGCAGACTGTAGCTCCATGTAGGTCACATTAACTACTTGTCCCTTGGCCTTGGAAATTAAGCTGATCTGCGTCACATTTGCCAGAATACCTGTACAACATAAACCTATAGTCACCTGATGCGACAATCACTGTGCCGATTAAATAAGAACACAACAAACGTTACAATGATCACGTTAGTCAGATGTTGACTGTTGTGGAATCCTTGAGGTTTTACAGCATTGAAACTTAAATACAATCTTCTTCTTCTTCTTCTTCTTCTTCTTCTTCTTCTTCTTCTTCTTCTTCTTCTTCTTCTTCTTCTTCTTCTTCTTCTTCTTCTTCTTCTTCTTTTTCTTCTTCTTCTTCTTCTTCTTCTTCTTCTTCTTCTTTCTTCTTCTTCTCTTCTTCTTCTTCTTCTTCTTCTTCTTCTTCTTCTTCTTCTTCTTCTTCTTCTTCTTCTTCTTCTTCTTCTTCTTCTTCTTCTTCTTCTTCTTCTTCTTCTTCTTCTTCTTCTTCTTCTTCTTCTTCTTCTTCTTCTTCTTCTTCTTCTTCTTCTTCTTCTTCTTCTTCTTCTTCTTCTTCTCTTCTTCTTCTTCTTCTTCTTCTTCTTCTTCTTCTTTTTCTTCTTCTTCTTCTTCTTCTTCTTCTTCTTCTTCTTCTTCTTCTTCTCTTCTTCTTCTTCTTCTTCTTCTTCTTCTTCTTCTTCTTTTCTTCTTCTTCTTCTTCTTCTTCTTCTTCTTCTTCTTCTTCTTCTTCTTCTTCTTTCTTCTTCTTCTTCTTCTTCTTCTTCTTCTTCTTCTTCTTCTTCTTCTTCTTCTTCTTCTTCTTCTTCTTCTTCTTCTTCTTTCTTCTTCTTCTTCTTCTTCTTCTTCTTCTTCTTCTTCTTCTTCTTCTTCTTCTTCTTCTTCTTCTTCTTCTTCTTCTTCTTCTTCTTCTTCTTCTTCTTCTTCTTCTTCTTCTTCTTCTTCTTCTTCTTCTTCTTCTTCTTCTTCTTCTTCTTCTTCTTCTTCTTCTTCTTCTTCTTCTTCTTCTTCTTCTTCTTTTCTTCTTCTTCTTCTTCTTCTTCTTCTTCTTCTTCTTCTTCTTCTTCTTCTTCTTCTTCTTCTTCTTCTTCTTCTTCTTCTTCTTCTTCTTCTTCTTCTTCTTCTTCTTCTTCTTCTTCTTAGCGTTCACTGGCTGTAAACTCTGACTGGAAGTTCTGCACTTTGGTCTGGTTCCAGAGTTTTGCATGCACATCCATTTACAGATCTAGGTAATTGTTTGCAAACTGTTGGTTCTCAGGCAGATACACTCTGACTCTAAAGGAAACTGCCCAAATAGTCGTCTCCTACAAGATGCTTGTTGGGAGAAGGGGGAGGGCAGGAAGTCTACCTTTATTCTCTTAAATGGGGCGCCGGACTCAGACAGGAACGTTTGATAGTTAAATTAACAAGTATTGCTAAGATTTTGTAGAAAAAAGAAGTACAATACATGCTAACTGCTTTTTTAAAAGAGCAAATGCAGGAGAAGAAGAAGTAGAAGAAAGGAACAAACAGAAGGTCTCTTCGGCGCACACAACAATACACTAACATGACATTGAAGAGGCAATTGCTAGAGGTCCCGGGTTCAAGCTCCGGTGAACACAACAATACACTAACATGACATTGGAGAGGCAAGTGCTAGAGGTCCCGGGTTCAAGCTCCGGTGAACATCAAGAGATGGATAAACTGCAGTTTGAGAGAGTGTATACTTAAGAACATGATGGGGTGATACATTGCAGCCCTCCTTTACTGTAGAAATGGAACCTGGCCGATTGACTGAATTCCTTTGCCTCATGTATGATTGGGGCCAAGGTAGCTGTAATGTTGTTGGAAAGTCAGGCTTGGTGCTATATTATTATCCTACCCCAAACAGGGGAAATCCGCAGGTCACGGGACAGCCTAATATTTCAGTGGGTGGTAGGTAGATATTCTGCATGCATTCATGGAACCGAGGCTGTATTCTCTCGTGGGACGTAGACTGGTTGGGGTTAGGGCCAGTTTTAGATGTTTTGGGGTCGTTAAAAGCATCAAAAAACCGGAAAACCCAGTCTTACCACCATCTTTAATGTTGGACTTACATGTGACGTCATCTGGGGGTAAGATATTAATAAAGAACCCCAGGCTTATTGTTTTTAGTCATGACAAATTTGTATTTCTGACAAGGATTAGCCATTGCATTTTCCTCTACTTATGGACTATAAATCAATATCTCCGTCGCCCAGTTACTCAGTTGAGTACATGACGTGACACTGTCAGCTAGGGATTTCATTTGGAATGCTTTTTGACTGTGTCCAATGTGGTTTGTCTTCTGAACAGCAGATTAAGAAAATGGCCAGGGGTCTGTTGCCACAGAACTGGTGGTGTCTTATAAAATTTATTGCATGTGCAACTACGGGTTTGCTGCAACTGCTGACTTCATCAACAATGAAAAGCATTTCCAATGCCAGACTGTTTGTGCTAGCACTTTTGACACTGTCTTATTCATTTCATGCATGTGTGTAATATAGACTTTTCCCAGACTATTTCCCAAACTATTTCTTAAGTGATGCGCATTCTGTGTGGTTTTTGTTAGCACAGCAACAAAGCAACTGCATGGTGACCTGTTTTCTGTGAAGTTGGAACTCTGATCACCTGAATGCGCATTTTTATTATGGCTGACACCTATCTCTTTATCCATTACATTTTACTTACAAGAATTATTTGTCTGCTACAGCTACGCACAATGGTCCACGTCTCACCTGATATGTTACCATAGGAATATTCTGGTTCTCACCATACGGAATAGGAATATCTGGTCCACATCTCACGTTACCATAGGAATATTCTGGTCCATGTCTCACCTGATATGTTACCATAGGAATATTCTGGTCCATGTCTCACCTGATATGTTACCATAGGAATATTCTGGTCCACGTCTCACCTGATATGTTACCATAGGAATATTCTGGTCCACGTCTCACCTAATATGTTACCATAGGAATATTCTCATTATTTTATTTTGATCTTATGACAATAAAACAATCTGTATCAAGTCTCAGGAACAAACTAAAACATAGTGTCATAAATTACCCATGACATCAAAGGCTGTTGGCATTTGAAGCTTATCAAGTTGAATCCAGCTGGATTCAAATAAGGGAACAACATATTCCAAAATTTTGCCTGGTTCAACAACTGTTCCATTTCGACCGCCGTGGTAGATAGTCTTGCCTGATTTACACACAAACCCAATAAGACAGACATAGGTATAAGTAATAAATATTTTTAAAAGTGTTATAAAATAATTAACTACAGTAAATAACAATAATTGAAGGACTCATGTTTGGCTGTAAGGTTCAAGAGGTCAATGGTAAGTGAACAGAAGTACACGACCCCTTTTTAGGCCAGTGCCGCATAGGGTATATGAGGCTGAATTCATATTGTTATAGACCAAGAAGCTCTCAGTAGGTGGCTTTGTCAACATATGCCAGTCACTTTTATCTCCCAGGACCTTACCTGTTACCTATTTAAGGCATTTTATTTGAAAAATCAATGTCAGACTTGGACATTAACAAAAGAACACGAGAGAAGACTAACCACCTGTGAAATGAGATGTATGAGAATGGCTGCGAATAAAACCAGAAGAGATCGAGTGAGAAACGATGTGATTACAAGAACTATTGGAACCTTACCCATCGTTAAATTTATTGAGAAGCAAAGAATGAAATGGTTTGGTCACCTAATGAGAATGGAACCAACGATGCCAGCATCAAAAGCATACAACATGAAAATCGAAACACCAAGAGGCAGGGGAAGACCAAGAAGAAGATGGATTGAAGGAGTCACGGACAACTTGAGACTTCATAACATTACGGCATGAAGCGACTGAGCGCGCCCTGGCTCGGTTGCCGATCATCTGATAGACTGCGACGCCTAGCGGCACAAGCAGATTTTGACAAAAAAAGATTTAAAAAAAAAGAAAAGAAAGAAAAAAAAAAAGAAAAAAGAAAAGAGAAAAGAGACAGTCATCAATGAAGAACTAAGAACAATACTAGGCATAGAACCGATGAATGATTTCATAGAACATCAAAGAATGAAATGGTTTGGTCATCTGGTCAGAATGGAACATAATCAGCCAGCAGCTGGAGCATACTACATAAGAACGGCAGGCTAAAGGCAAGAGGCCGACCAAGAAAGAGATGGGTGGAATGAGTAAAAGAGATACTACAGAAACACAAAATGATGTTAGCACCAGCTACACAACTAACAAGAGGAAGAAAACTGCAAATAACACTTCTTTACAACATTTTATTCGCCCGTGTATTCCCGGGGCCCTTACGGGAAGCAAAGTGACACTGCACCCGACCAGGCATGTCGTAAGAGGCGACTAAGGGTAGGGTTGGGCTTTAGGTTGGCTACCTCATCCTGTAAAAACCATAGCCACAAAAACCAACCAACCATGGATAAGTCAAAAAAAAAAAAAAAAAAAAGCAAGTAAAACCCAGCCAACCAAGATGAGGGAAGGCTCCTCAAATAGAAGAAGTATGACACAGTGCTGACCAAGAGGTGAGGAAAAGACGCTGGCGTTGGATAGGACACACACTGAGAAAACAGGAGAACAGCATAAATAGAATGTCTTTGCATTGGAACCCACAGGGGCATAGGAATAAAGAAAGGCCCCCCCCCCCCCCCCCCCCCCCCTCCCAAAAAAAAAAAAAAAAACCACATGGAGAAGAAAGCTGGAGAATGAAGTTAGAAAGATTGGGAGGACATGGGGAGAGCTCCATGCAATGGCGAAGGATAGAACGACTTGGCGTGAGTTGGTTGAGGGCCTATGCTCCATTTGGGGATAGAAAGGCAGAAGAAGAAAACATTTTACTGCATAGGCATTACAATAAACAATAATAAGAAGAATAAAAAGAAATCTAACAATATGGATAACAGTCAAAAAAACAAAGGTTTATGGTACTTATTGCACATTTGTCAAGTGACATTCATGGCGCTGTGTGTTCAGTATCACTTCTGCCATCTTTACTTTCTAGAACATTTCCTAGCACCCCTTTCAGGTTGGACTGACTTGGGAACCCAGAACAGTTACAGGAAGAATGCCTGCCTTGATAGGGATTTGAGTAAATGATCACAGTAATTTTGACCATACCACCGATCAAGTGTTGATTGGTGGTGTAGACAGCAGATCAGGTGGTTTGGCCACATCTTTAGAATGCAGCAAGATCAAATACCATCACCAGCACTACATCTCAGAAGATCAGCTACAAGAGCAAGAGGACGGCAGCGGAAATAATGGATCGACAATATTAAAGACACTCTACGCCTTTACGACATGGCAATAGCCAGTGGCAGCCAACATGCACTGGATCGCAAATTATTCCTCCCCACGCAGCTTAAAGGCAGAAGTGGTTTATGATGATGATGATGATGAAATCTAAGACTGTACCCACTAAATTTGAAAGCACGGTAAAAGTTCCTTGAACTTGATCAGAAAATGGTATTTTATTTATCCTAACTGGATATCATCGCATTCCGGGAGCCGCAGTGGTGTAGTGGCTAAACGCTCGTCCCTGGCTCAGAAGATCGTGGGTTCAGATTCTGAGGGAGCTAGACTTTTTTCTCAGCGATGACTTTCCCTCCCATGTCGACCCAGGATTCAATGAGTACCAGGTTAAGTCAAGGGAAGTAAAGGTGGCCAGGGGGATTCTGAGCATATCACCCACCAAGTACTGATTGGTCTATAACATAAAGGTCAAGCCATTTATGCTCCAATTTTCTGAGGACGTGGAAGAAGAGTCTTTTTAGTCAGTAGGTGGTTTACAGAACGTCGCTCTCATCACAGAACACTTAAAAGTCTCTTCGTCTCTAGCCAATACTCCAGCCCTATGTGCTTTCATGACCAATGCGTCTTCAGTGTCATGTAGCCACATTTGTGGCAGCTGGCCTCTGTCTTATTGTTCAGAAACGGCACCCTTCATTGCCACTATCGTCACACCACCATTTCGATTGAGACATGTAAAAAAAAAAAAAGGTAAGTCAATGATCCGTTTTAAGCTCCTGGCACATCAGGCTTATGGTGGTAGACCCAGAGCTTTTTTTCTGATGGTACACAGTTGTGGCACCTTTTTTTTTTACTGTATCTTTTTTTCTGCCCTACTGTAATAGAAATTTTTTGGGGCACCTCTTGTTATTTCTGTTGTTGTTGTTGCCAAGGAAAAAAAACACCTTTATAGACTTAAACCAAAAACAGTTTGTGCCAACAGGCAAGTATCTAGATGCTGCACCACCTTGCCTTTTCCATGTTTCACATTTGACAAGGTCTAATTTACACTGGAAATGACAACTATGGAAGCCAAATTTCTTTATCATATGACCAAATTAAAAAGAAAAGTGGTTTGAAACGGACACAGTCAATAAGTTAACTGAATAAAACTATCCACCCCCCCCCCCCCCCCGCAAGACAGTACATGCCATTTAATATTATCCTTTCATCTCAACATAAATGCAGGATATGTTAGTAAAGCATGGGGAAGACACGCCACATTCTAAGCTTGGATAGAAGACATTTTAACCAGATTCTTATGTCAACGATTAGTAGAAGTACCTTGGGCTAGCTGCTGCATCAGAGGACTGAGCACACATGGGAATGCCCAGTTTGCTGTGAGGTCAAATGTGATAACATAACATAACATAACAAAACATAACATAGCATAACATAACATGATCCTCTCACCGTTTCCAGTCAAAGAAATGACAGTTTCATTGTACAAATCCAGCAGATTACTCGAGGAGATCCACAGAGTGACATTGAGCCCATAGGAAATATGGTGGTCACCAAGTAACGGTCCAGACTGTACTATGCTTGTCAAGTTATTCATCTGCACGCTGCAAAATATAAACATATTTTCAGACACAATAGACTTAAAAAAAAAAAAAAAAAATTATATATATTTTGTTTTAGCACCATGTCCAGCTGTAATGTTGTGTACTTTTGATTGCTTTAGTCTTCTTCCTTTGATTATTACATGGGGAATTTCTGCTCAGTACACAAAATCTGCAGCAACATTTAGGATCCACATTAGAGTATATAACTAAATATTCTTTTGTGGGTGCTTTTCTAAATTTGTAAATTTAGTCTTGGAGTTGTTTCCTATTTTGCCGACTCTCTTTGACTTCAAACTTGTTACACATTTTCAGTGTGTGAAACACGTACCCAGCTACTCGCATTTGTTACGTTATTTTGAATCTCTGACACTAACATGACTGCGTAGCCTGGGAGTAAAGCATGACGAAGCAAGTCAAAGCCATCTTCATTGTAGCTAACTCTTCATGGGAACGATAAATAAAGGTACCTCTGAGTGCTGCTTTGGAGGATTGACATTATGGGAATGCCCAATGTGCAGTGACATCCGTTGTGGCAATATCGCATATCCAGATGTTATGTGCTCTCACCTGGCAAGTCGAGCGTTTTTACAGAACGTTGCAGAACCAAACCCAGCATTTTTTGGCTGCCTAGTTTTACGAGGTGATTTTACGTTCAGTAGTTCGCCACTGTTCACTGAAAGGTCTGCGCTCCCTACCAGCGTCAAAATCAATGCAAAGTGCTATGCTGCCAAATTACCTGCAGTTGGAATTGAACTGGGATTTTTTTTATTTACAAAGCGCATTCAGCAACATCTAAGACACAGTTGCCAATATATCCCAACAATTCACATATTTGAAATACAGACATTTAAGATGTATGTAATATCATACTTTCTTATAATATGTACTCCGCTCACTTCCACACATAATATATTCCTATACTTCCACACATAATATATTCCTATACTTCCACACATAATACACTCCTGTACTTCCACACATAATATATTGCTGTACTTCCACACATTCTGCAACCAAAAAATCCACATGTGCAGTACATTCACATTTCCACACGCTCATAGAATCGTATCTGATACATTCACAATGGTAAACAATATGTACATTTACACTGCCACACATAATACACTCTACCATTGTCATATGTTATGCACTCTAACACTTCCACACAATGTTTACACTGACATTCCACACAAAGTTTACACTGACACTTCCACACAATGTTTACACTGACACTTTCTCGCATAATGCATTCTACCACTGTCATAAGTTTTGCGCTCCCACTCTTCCACACAATCTGTACACTGAGAATTCCACACAATCTGTACACTGACGATTCCACACAGTCTGTGCACTGACAATTTCACACAATCTGTGCACAGACAATTCAACACAGTCTGTTCACTGACAATTCCGCATAATCTGTACACTGACAATTCCACACAATATGTGCACAGACAATTCCACACAATTTGTGCACTGACAATTCTACACAATCTGTACACTGACAATTCCACACAATCTATACACTGACAATTCTACACAATCTGTACACTGACAATTCCACACAATCTATACATTGACAATTCCACACAATCTATACATTGACAATTCCACACAATCTATACACTGACAATTCCACACAATCTGTACACTGACAATTCTACACAATCTCTACACTGACAATTCCACACAATCTGTACACTGACAATTCTACACAATCTGTACACTGACAATTCCACACAATCTGTACACTGACAATTCCACACAATCTATACACTGACAATTCCACATAATCTGTACACTGACAATTCCACACAATCTGTACACTGACAATTCCACACAATATGAGCACAGACAATTCCACACAATATGAGCACAGACAATTCCACACAATCTGTGCACTGACAATTCCACACAATCTATACATTGACAATTTCACACAATCTATACATTGACAATTCCACACAATCTATACATTGACAATTCCACACAATCTATACACTGACAAATCTATCCAATTCACAATCTGTACACTGACAATTCCACACAATCTACACTGACAATTGACAATTGAGCCACAGACAATTTCACACAATCTATACATTGACAATTTCACACAATCTATACATTGACAATTCCACACAATCTATACATTGACAATTCCACACAATCTGTACACTGACAATTCCACACAATCTGTACACTGACAATTTCCACACAATCTATACATTGACAATTCCACACAATCTGTGCACTGACAATTCCACACAATCTGTGCACTGACAATTCCACTCATGTTGAATACTCACACTTTTGCCTCAAACAACAGAGAAGAATTACAACTCCCCCCATGTCCAAAGCAGAAACATGGTTGGCAACCCTCTGGATTGTATGAAGCCAAATTAAAAAATCCAACTTGGCACTCCATGCATTTATCTCCCCGTACATTTGTTTTACATGGACAAACTCCTGTTGTCTGGTTGCAATTAAAATCCGTGGAGCCAGGACCAGAGCAGTTGCATGCACTGAAATATAATACATTTTTTTTTGTTAAATCCTAAAGTTTATTCACATATCTCGAAAATACATTGTTTAAAACATATATTACAGTAAGAATAAGAACAAACTCCACAGGGGAGCATGTACAGCAGGAGTCTACCAATCATCAGTAGAAGTAATCTCTCGTCGACAGATGTTTCGGCCCACGAGCTCCTAGACATTTTCAGAGAGTGTGCCCACCTGAGTTCACGAGGCTCAGGGTTGGTTTCCCCTGCTGCACGAATTACTGGAATTACAGACATTTAATACCAATCAAAACTGGCTGATAAACATCATTTTGCCCTGGAAGGTTAAATAGTTTGAGTATACTAAACATAAAGTGTCTTTAAAAGAAATGGAAGGCAATGACTTCTTGAAGAAAAGTCGAGCGTCGACTAACGCTATGGACACTATCATAAATAAACTATTAGAGGTCCTTTAAGGCCCTCACTATAATTCTGCTGAAGGCAAGGTGTTGATGGCACTTGAGCCGTGCATAAGTGAGTAATAATAATACGTCATTCCCCTTACAGAGATAGGATGTTCTGAAGATTTTGGAAGCAACGTGTCCACAACACTGCTAATAATACGAGAATTGAAAGTAAAGATCTGCACAGCCAAGCATGAGAAGCAAACCAGACGCATTGGGAGTCTTGTTAACCAACATAAGACCGGCACTATTAACCGCACGACGCTGATGAATAGGTTGAAAGGGGAATCTGAGCACCTATGGATGTGTCCGGAGTGCTGAGAAGATGATCTAACTCATAACTCATAACAATGTGCCATCTATCTTGAACGCAATGTTTTACCTGTTATAAATGCAATGTTCTATCTTGAACGCAATGTTTTACCTGTTATAAATGCAATGTTCTATCTTGAACGCAATGTTTTACCTGTTATAAATGCAATGTTCTATCTTGAACGCAATGTTTTTACCTGTTATAAATGCAATGTTCTATCTTGAACGCAATGTTTTACCTGTTATAAATGCAATGTTTCTATCTTGAACGCAATGTTTTACCTGTTATAAATGCAATGTTCTATCTTGAAACGCAATGTTTTACCTGTTTAAATGCAATGTTCTATCTTGAACGCAATGTTTTACCTGTTATAATGCAATGTTCTATCTTGAACGCAATGTTTTACCTGTTATAAATGCTATCTTGAACGCAATGTTTTTACTATAAATGCAATGTTCTAAACGCAATGTTTTACCTGTTATAAATGCAATGTTCTATCTTGAACGCAATGTTTTTACCTGTTATAAATGCAATGTTCTATCTTGAACGCAATGTTTTACTGTTATGCAATGTTCTATCCTGAACGCAATGTTTTACCTGTTTATAAATGCAATGTTCTATCTTGAACGCAATGTTTTACCTGTTATAAATGCAATGTTCTATCTTGAACGCAATGTTTTACCTGTTATAAATGCAATGTTCTATCCTGAACGCAATGTTTTACCTGTTATAAATGCAATGTTCTATCTTGAACGCAATGTTTTACCTGTTATAAATGCAATGTTCTATCTTGAACGCAATGTTTTACCTGTTATAAATGCAATGTTCTATCTTGAACACAATGTTTTACCTGTTATAAATGCAATGTTCTATCTTGAACGCAATGTTTTACCTGTTAGAAATGCAATGTTCTATCCTGAACGCAATGTTTTACCTGTTATAAATGCAATGTTCTATCTTGAACGCAATGTTTTACCTGTTATAAATGCAATGTTCTATCTTGAACGCAATGTTTTACCTGTTATAAATGCAATGTTCTATCTTGAACGCAATGTTCTGCCATTCCTGAACGCAATGTTCTGCCATTCCTGAACGCAATGTTCTGCCATTCCTGAACGCAATGTTCTGCCATTCCTGAACGCAATGTTCTGCCATTCCTGAACGCAATGTTCTGCCATTCCTGAACGCAATGTTCTTCCATTCCTGAACGCAATGTTCTGCAATTCCTAAACGCAAAGTTCTGCCCTTCCTGAAAGCAAAGTTCTGCTATTCCTAAACGCAAAGTTCTGTCATTCCTAAACGCAAAGTTCTGCCATTCCTAAACGCAATGTTCTGCTATTCCTGAATGCAATGTTCTGCCATTCCTGAACGCAATGTTCTGCCATCCCTAAACGCAATGTTCTGCCATCCCTGAACGCAATGTTTTGCTATTCCTGAACGCAATGTTCTGCTATTTCTGTGACAAAATGTTCTGCCATTCCTATGACACAAAGAACACGACCAACAACAGCCACACAATTACCTGCAGCCAGCTGATGAAAAGCCAAAGAAGCCATCCTTACAAACATCACACTTCTGGCCAGTCACCGAGTCCTTACATGGACACTGTCCAGTCTCATTACACTGTAGCTCAGTTGACCCTTGTAGATTGCAGTCACATTGAGCGCAGCCTGCCCCGCTGTTCACTCCAAAGAAATTTGGCAGGCAGATGCTGCAAGT